TAGTCCGAAAAGCCTCTGAAGTGAAGCACGGAGGTTCTGTAGAAGCCGAATCTGGAATTTTGGTGACCGAAGGATTAGAGACCGAGTTGCAGCATTGCAGCTCGGCCAATTGTATGATTGAATTGGCGTAATTAGTTTGAGAGAGAAAGAACTTATCTGGGTTGGAGTCTATCTTGATTCCCAATAAGTGACTAGCAATGCCGAGATTTTTCATTGTAAACTTGGAGCTGAGCTGTGCTATCAGAACATTCATTTCATTTGAGCTATTTCCCGTAATTAGAATATCATCCACATAGACCAGAAGATATATATGGGTTTGGCCTCGATGAAGAATGAGCAAGGAAGGGTCCGCTTGACTATGGTGAAAACCGAGTTGGAGAAGATGTGTAGTAAAAGTAGTGTACCATTGCCGAGGAGCTTGACGAAGTCGATAAATGGCCTTTCGGAGACGACACATGTGAGTTGGGTTGTGAGCGTCCTCGAACCCTTTCGATTGCTTCATATAAATTGTTTCGTTAATGTCCCCGTGTAGGAAGGCATTTGCCACGTCCAGTTGGTGTATTTGCCATTTGTAGAACAGTGCAATAGTAAACATAATTCGAATTGTTGGTAGCTTAGCTACCGGACTGAAAGTATCATGAAAGTCAAGACCGTATTCTTGTTGGTTACCAAGAGCAACTAGTCTAGCTTTGTAGCGTGCAATGGAGCCATCCGAATTGTATTTTGTTCGTTAGGTCCATTTAGATCCAAGAATAGAACAGTTGGAAGGTTGGGGTACAAGATCCTATGTACCTTGTTTTTGTAAGGCAAAGAACTCCTCAGCCATTGCGTGACGCCATTCGTACTTTTTGATCGCTACGCTGTAAGATGATGGATCAGTGTGCAAGTTTTCTTGATGCAGAAGATTGAGCTTATTAAAGGGTTTGAGCGATCCTGTTTGTCGGCGTGTGGTCATGGGGTGGTGTTTCGGTGTTGGATTAGAGACCGGAGATGGTAGCTGACTACTGGTTGATTCCGGTGTAATGTTCATAGGTTCTGGACCATGATCTTGATCTCTGGAACGCAACGGTTGTGGACACAAGTTGGACTTGCTGTGGCTTTGATGTATAAGAGGAATGACAGACGAAGGAATCAACAGAGAGGATGGAGTGGTATATTGAGACTCACTTTCTTGGGCAGACCTGTGATGAAAAGGAAAAATGTTTTCATTAAATTTCACATGTCTTGATATACTGATTTTGTTATTAGACTGATTAAGACACTTGTATCCTTTCATGGATTCAGAGTAGCCCATGAAGACACAGGCCGGAGATGTGGGAGTAAGCTTGGTGCGATGCGTTGGAGGAAGGAGAGGATAACATTCACAGCCAAAAATTCGGAGATGATCATAAGACGGTTTTATGTTAAACATTTGTTGTAACGGAGATAGTTGTTCAGTTGTCATGGAAGGAAGACGGTTTATAAGGTAAATTGCCGTAGTTGCAGCTTAAAGCCAATAAGTTAGCGGAAGAGACGCTTGTTGTAGAAGCGTACGAGTGGTTGTAATTATGTGCCAATGCTTTCTTTCGGCGATTCCGTTCTGCTCGGGAGTATATGGGCATGAAGTTTGGTGATGGATTCCGGCAGTCCGTGTGAACTTTTGGAATCTGCTGTTGATAAATTCACCACCACCATCTGTTTTTATGATTTTGAGTTTTCGGTTAGTTTGTCTTTCAATATAAGTAACAAAATTAATAAAAGTATTTGTAACATCGGATTTTGAAAACAGCGGAAATAACCAAACATAACGTGAGTAGTCGTCTACGAATATTATGTAATACCGAAAACCTTGATGAGAGGGAATTTGAGATGGTCCCCAAACATCGGAATGAACTAAATCTAAATGTGCATTCGACAAGCTAGTAGATAGTTCAAAAGGGATTTTATGCCCATTACACGTCATACATGCTTTACAGACAAGTTTAGATGTCGAAATATGCAGAGACGAATTGCTGTTGGAAATGTTGTGAAGGACGCGAGCATGCGGATGTCCAAGTCTGCTATGCCAGTTGATATAGGAGGTTCCGGTAGTCATTAAACCGGTGATAGGCGTCTTCTTGTGAGCAGCTATGCGATACAACCCATCCTTACAGGGTCCTTGAAGTATAGTTTGATTTGTCCTCAGATCCTTAAATGTAAAACCGTTAGCATCAAAAATTATAGAGATAGGGTTATCTTTAACCAAATTATAGATAGAGAGAAGATTATAAGATAAAGAAGGAATACGAAGTAAACGAGAGAGAAGAAGAGTACTAGCTGGGGTCGGAAGAAGTCCTGTTCCCATATGAGATATAGGAATAGATCTTTCGTCCCCAATTGTAACACGATCAGTGCCACTGTAGACGTAGGAGGTGTCAAGATTGTCATTTTTGTTCGTTATATGCGAGAAGCTCCCGAGTCGATGTACCAGTCATCTACGGAGATATTTTCATTAGCCGCAAGAAGAGCATTGGATTTCTTGGGTAATTGTTGATTTGGTGTGTAGCTCATGTTGAGTCGGTGCCAGCATGAGTCAGCCTGATGCCCTTTCTTCTTGCAAATTTGACATGAAACGGATGAAGGTTGAGTGGTGTGTTGCGACGATGTATTTTCTCTGTTAGGGCGGCCGTGCCCACGCCGACCCCGGCCGTTGGAGGAGTAGAGAGCAGCCTGAATGTCGGGTGGTTTAGGAAATCTTGCCGCTGCGGATTTGAGGTGAATTTCTTCGCTGATGAGCAGCGCGTATAGGCTGTCGAGAGATAATGAGTTTTGCATCGTCCTGATCGAGGTCGTGAAGGACTGGTATTCCGCAGGAAGTCCATTAAGGATGTAGATCATTACGTCTTCCGGATCAACGGTAGATCCCGCCGCGGATATCTGATCAACTATCTTCTTGACCTCAGTTAGATACTGAGACATAGATAGCGATTGCATCGACAGGTTATGAAGCTCGTTTTTGAGTTGTATAACCTTTGATCGATTTGATGATTGAAACCGCGTATGAAGTGTGGACCAAATCTCATATGTTGATTCAAGATGAATCACATAGGGAAGGACAGCCAGAGAGATTGTAGAACACATGGCGGTAGCCAGATTCTGATCCGTTATGGACCAATCTTGTTTTTCTTGATTCGGATCGACATTTTCAGATGCTGATTTTGGCTCAAGAAAGTTGCTAAACCCGTTCGCCTTGAGCAGTTCTGCAAATTGGGTGCTCCAGAGAGGGAAATTGTCGGGAGTAAGAGAGTATGGAACGAGAGTTTTGATGTTAGAAATTACGAATTTGAGAGCTGGGGGAATGGCCGGAGTTAAGACGCCGGATCCTGCCGTAGTATGAGCGGAGGAGGATGCGGAAGCGAGCGTCGTCATGGTAGTTTCGTCAGAATCAGAACGCCACTCTTGATACCATGTAGAATTCTATGAACTCATGAATCTTACGCAAGCAAAAATAAAGAAGATAAACAGTAAAGATAGAATATTATATTAATTTCCTTGTGTTCTGAGTACAGGACATAATCTATATATAAGAGTTTATTTACAAGTATGGGACATGTGTAAGACTTTGATAGGCTCACACGTATAACAGATTCTTGTTAATTAATATTGTATTAATATTGATGTCTCATGGGCAAGATTGTTGAATCAAAATATGCAAGATGGTTGCTTGGGTCCCATCTTCCACAATATGTCAATATGACTCTAGGTGGGGATTTTTAAACCCCATTGGAAGCCTTTATTTTGTAATCTCTATCAGGGATACTAAAAAAATATTATTTTAAGTTAAGCGCGTCAAAAGTGCAGGTAAAGCACAATCAAAGTGCAGTCAACAATGCGCAGTCAAAGTGCAGGTAAAACATAGTTAAAGCGCACCTAAAGCGCAGTTAAAGTGCAATCAAAGCGCAGTCGACGTGGCAAGTTTTAATTGGATGTCCAGACCTATTTTTAGGTTCGGTGATCGGACCTAATAATTTGCCCTCTTGGAGGATTCATTTGTTAGCTGTGGTTTCCCCTCAATTACTTGGGTGGGGGAGTGGAATTTTCGCCATTGGTTAGCGAGTGCTGATTATGGAAGCTATTGCCCTAATGCTAGATCGTCCTAGAGTCTGAGAATCTTTCTAGTGTGTTCGCCCTTAGGATCTTCCTCTCGATTAAATCCAATGCTTATTGGGTTAATCTTATGAATTTTTTTATGTATCTCCATCAAATACTCGTAAAGTTCTGGTTTGACATCTCTAAATTTTTTCTTGCTTCTACGGGTATAAGTGAGCCGAGTCGGTTCGCCGGCTCAAGTCGAGCTTATTGAGCCACGAGTTTGAGCTCAAACCTATCTCGAGCTTGTATATTAAATGAGCTCGAGAGCTCAAGCCTAACTAGGCTCGAAAACTTGTTGAGCCGCTTGATTAAATTAAAATATATTTAATAGTAAATTTAAATTAGTATTATATAATATATTATAATAAAATTTAATTAATCCTACATTTAAAAAATAAAATGGTAAAAAAAATTGATTTTTTAATTTAAAACTAAAGAATCGATCGAGGCTTCTAAACGAGCTTGAGCAATCGAGTCGGGCTCGAGTCTATGAATTTTTTATGTCCAGCTCGAGCTTAATAAAGGAGCTCGAGCTCAATAACAACTAATTAAACTTAACTCAATTAAACTGATACCCGTCTCATTTATACCCCTACTTGTTCAGTTGTTCCACATAGTATTCAAGTTAAAAGCATCAAAAGCATGAGCTCACAGTCACTACACCTAAATCAGATTTATTCGAGAGCGCATGAAAGAAATGTATTAATTCACTATTAAGTTCTTTATTTATTTATTTTTCGAATAATTTCGATTTGCACAACCGGCGGGCATTTGAAATTATAGAAATAAGACGCCGATCCTAATTCCGTACGTGAACGATTTCGCTTATTTTCGCTGCAAAAATATTGTTGCCGTCCAGTCTTTGCATTCTTCCCGTTCCCATTCCCATTCCCTGGACAGACCGCCAAGGTTATGACGGAAGCTGCTGCTACGCCATCTACCCTGACGCCCTCAGCACTCCCGGCACCCAACCCAACAACGATGAGGGAGCAGTGGAAAGGGGAGTTTTCCCGCTTCTTCATGTTTCAGTGGCAGCACTCCCCCACTGTCGACGTCGCACCCCGTCCGCTTACCAAGGGCCGAGGGCGCTACTGCAGAGGCACCTGGCTCACCGCATCCTTGCCGGCAACCATCCTCATTGTCAAGGCTAGCTCCTCCGACGTCGCTGTGCTCTCCATTTCCGTCGCTGGCTACATACACGTCAGTACCTTCTGTTCGCTTCTTTTGTCTTCCTGTTTTGGCTGTTAGATTATATATAGTTTAGGGATCACCAATCAGACGACGCTTGCTTGTATTTGGGAATCCTAGCCAATAGTTCTTGTTAGATTTTGCTTCTCTTACATTCTACATTTGATCATTAGAATGCGGCTTAGTGCTGTTTGGGTTGGCGAGGTTTTCTCTATTATTTCTGTATAGATGTTTCTGAAATATTTCCAATATTATATGCTTGAATCTCATGATTTTGTGATTGAGGGTTTAATTTCAGTTGCAATACTAGGTTTGTATGACCTGTACATGCCTGCATCGATTCTGTTATTTTTCTGCTTTCTTTGGATTGTTTGTGCTGGATATTTGAATTTGAGCAATATAGAGTGACCGAATAGAAATATTTTACTATGGATGATTGTAGGAAGAGCACATCGTTTCCAGTCTCCACTTGACGTGGCCTCAAGTTGCTTGTGTGCCTCAGTGCCCGGTTAGAGGGAGCAGAGTGGTTTTTATGAGTTATAGGGATTGTTCTAACCAGGTAAGTGGAGCAACCCTGCTTGAATCTGGATTTTGTATATGGTGCTAATTTCATTCTCCTCATCTCCTATATGTTGGGTTACTTCCATTTAATTGTTTTGCTACTCCTGATACTAGTCGTGCTAGTGGCATCCCTTTGTGCTGTTGTGCTATGTTAATGGGAAATTAGATTTTGACGTATTCAATAAGAAAATGAATGCTGCACAGTTTCACTCCTATAATTTCACCACGATCTTTTGCAGGAGCAGATTACCTATGAAGTTTTCTCTTTATTTATTTCAAATTCAACGTACTGTTTTTATATTTCTTTGAATGAAAAATCTATTTCTTTGTTGTGTTTGAATCATGCTTTGAAGCTTAATCGGTTGCCAATGGATGCTCTTGTACTTCAGTTAGATAAGTTTAGGTTCTTGAATTTAGTTGTTGTTTTAGTTCCAGCTGATGTTTTGTAAAGACTCTGTGTGTCATATTCTTCTTTTGTGGCATTAAAGTTATGATGACCTTGCTATATCATTCTTCGTTCTATGCTTGTGATATCGTTGTTCATCTTGAGCATGTAATCTCAGGCATAGTTAACTGTTTAGTCATTATCAAACAATGAAAGATTGTTAATCTCCTAAGCTATTTCGATGAAGAACAAGCACTTGAGCAAATATGAGCTAACTCCTTTGTATGTGAATAGACTATTATGTACATGTAATCAAGAGTTCTTTGAGCATTGATTGCATCAAAAGAATTTTGTTGCAAGATATTTTTGTCTTAGGATTTTTATGTTAGCATACTAGTTATGCTAAGCCAAAGGTTTGTTTTTCATGATATTATGATAAAATACATCAATGCATACCGCCAACCTGGTTTATTGAACTTAACTTGAGAAATCTTAATCATTAGCTCAAAACGCTTCGGCTATCAACCAAATCCATCTAACTTAACTGTTACCCTTAGGAAAGTTTCTTTCATCTACATGTTGGAGCACCAACCAAACTTGCTGAACTTGACTAGTCTACTCAGGCGAATATCCTATTGCATTGTAGCACTATCAACCAACTTTATTGAGCTCTTTTGGAAGTCTCTGGAAAGACCTTTCATACCTCACATGGCTCTTGGCAAGTTTAGTGAACTTGACCGTAAGCCTTCCGTATGCCAGATTGCATTACCTAGCTTGATTGACCAAGTTTTGTAATGTTGATTGTAGTTCTAGGGTTGCTTAAACAGCCAAGTTCGATAAACTTGATTAGAGGGCTGTGAATAGCTATGTGTTTGATCGATCAAATTTAGTGAATTTGATTGGGAAGCTTGGACAGCCATTTCTACACATCTTGATTCACTAGCTAAGTTCAATGAATTTAATCAATACAACCTTTTTGTATTGAAACAAGCTAAAGCATTCTCAGAATATTTCCCTCACCATATATGATTGTTGATTTATGGAAAATTGAAATAAGAAATCATTGGTTTTGGACTGTGGTACCTTATAGTTGGGCCACTTACTATGGATTGCTTCTCCTAAAGTGAATTATTTTTTGTGCTATCAACCAACTTCTTGCATACATAAGAGATCCTTGTGCATTTTTTATCACAATCTCTTATGCCCTTCGAATATAATTCCCAGACAAAATTTGAATCTTTGGATTAAAGTTTGGGCTATTGTCTCATTTCATCTTATCTTCATACATGATCCACAGCCCTATAAATATCCACTATACTTGTTCATGAAATAACTTTGGAAATCTTTCTTCTGTTTTGCACAATGAGTTCTTCATTTACAAAAGTTTTTCAGTGCTCTAAGCTTTGCAATTTACTTCTATAGTGTGTAATCTTTCAAGAAGAGATTACAAGAAGGTTCTTGAGGTCTTGAACTCATTGAGAAAGCCATTTAACTCAAAGTTCATTTTATTTTAAGTTTCACTCTTGCTTTGTCCTTTAAACCCAAAACAGATATTCAGTAGAATGAATTTTTGTATTGGTTTTCTATTATGTGCAGTGTTCCCAATTTGGCATTCAATGGTTTTCTGGATGGTCTTTTGCTGTTTGAGTTATCTTGGTGCTCTTGTGATGGTCCTTGTGCCAATCATGTTGTTGTAGGATGGCCCTATGGCAACCTGGGTTGCCTTCGATTAGTTGTTACCTATTCAGAATTCCTCGGTTTCAAATTTGTTGTTGATTATCTGACGAATTTGCATTTGTGATATGATGAATAGGTTGTGAGCCACATATGCCTGAGTCCTTTTGTCCATTTTTTCTCTTTTTGCTTATTTGACAGCTTGAGTTGTCTGCTGGGTTTTTCTATCACACAACAACCCCGATGCATTTCTCCACTTCAACCACAAACTTGAATTCTGCTGATAATATCCCCTTCTATTTCACCATAACTCTAAACAATAAATCCAAGATATCTAAAATGTGTACTTTTTTTAATGACTTGATAGCTCAAAGTCACAATCCCCTCACTAGGTATATTACTACTAAAATTACACTCAATATATTTTATTTTAGATCTATTCAAGCAAAAACCTTTAGACTCTAAGGTTGACCTCTATAATTCAAGTTTACCCTTAACTCCCTCTCTAATCTTATCAATAAGAAGAATAACATCAGCAAAAGACATATACCAAGGTACATCCTCTTGCAAATGTCTAGTGTGAACATCCATGACTAAAGCATAAAAATATGGGCTTAAGGCTGATCCTTGATGTAATCCAACCAAAATAGGAAAATACTTGGTCGTCAAGCACCTTGTGTTTGAACACAAGTAATAGCTCCTGCATACATATCTTTAATTATTTGAATATAAGCGTTATTAACTCCTTTCTTTTCAAGAACTCTCCATTGCACTTCTCTTGGAACTTTATCGTATGTTTTCTCTAAATCAATAAATATCATTTGTAGATCCTCCATATTCTCTCTATAATTCTCCATCAAACCTCTCAATAAATGTATGCCTTCCATAGTAGACCTACCCGGCATTAATCCAAATTGATTTTGAGAAACATTAGTATCACACTACAACCTATGCTCCATAACTCACTCCCATAGTTTTAAAGTATGACACATTAACTTAATTCCTCTATAATTTGCACAATATTGTGCATCACGTTTATTCTTAAAAATAAGAATTAACACACTCATTCTCTACTCATCTGACATATTTTTAGTCTTCAAAACAGTATTAAAAAGTTTAGTAAGCCAAGAAATCCCTTCATCTCCTAAGCATTTCCACACCTCTATTGAAATATCATCAGTTCCAATAGCATTTTCACCCTTCATTTTCTTTAAAGCCTCTTTAACTCTTGGTTTACTAATAGCCTATGTGCAATATGAGGCTCCGCCTTGAGGCCCGCCTTTGCGCAATTCCAGTAAAAAACGCCTCGATGCTTTACACCTCGAGTTTTTTTTATGAGGCTTGCGCCTCAACTTGGTTGAGGCCCTCCTTGAGGCCCGCCTCGCCTCACCAGCATGAGGCTTACGCCTCACGCTATATATATTAAAACTTACATAAATCTTGAAGTAAATGCCCGACATTAGACTCTATAAGTAGTAGGAATGGGACAGAGCAGTTCTCATAATAATGATTCAAATGAAAGAACCCTTAGTGATGACAGTGCTGGTGACTTATGAGTTCTTATGTGATATGTCATTGCTATTTATTTTTTTTAAAATTTGAATTATATGTTAATGAAAAGAATAATAGGATTTGGGAAAAGATAGAAGTTTTTGAGTGAACTATTATTCATGTTGTTTTATTATTGGGATATTTGATTTCACTTCATATCTATGTTTTTTTATGTTTATAATTATTCACTCATTAGTATAAAAAATTTATCATTTTATGTTTACGAATCTTTTGATTTTGAGGCTTACGCCTTAAAACACCTTGAGGCTATACGCTCGCCTTACGAATGAAAAACGCCTCAATGCCCGAATGCGCAATTTTAAACATTATGCCGATAAAAATAAAAAATCTTTATTTTTATTTAGGATGTAAGGTCACTAAAGTCAATCATATTTTCACATTTTTCATCAAAAATTTAGCAAATACTCATCAACCTTTGTTGAAATATCAACTTCTAAGAAAAGTACTTTTTTGATCTTCATCTTTAATACACTATACTTGAACTAAAATTTTACTACTTCTATCTCTTTGTTTTGGCTAACTTTATATATATATATATATATATATATATATATAATATATATAGTTATATATATATTATATATATATATAATATATATATTACTAGTATTATATATATATGTATATAATGTAATATATATTATATTTACTATATATATATATATTATTCACCCTCCTTAGTATCTAATTTATTATATAAATCATTAAAAGCTAAAATCTTTGCATCGCATATTTTCTTAGATTCCAATAGACAGGAAGTTTAACTTGAACAAAACTTGGACAATTTGGACTTGAGCTCGGACTTGAATTTGATTAAATAAAAAGGACTTTAACTCAATTTAAACATTAATCGAACTTGCAAACATTGAATCCAAACTTGATTTGAACATTAAGTTGACATGACTTGAACATTTGAACTCAAGCAAAGACTTGAACTGGACCACAGGAGACTTGAACAAGACTTGAACAGCAAGGATTTTAAACTTGAAAGTGATATAGGGAACTCGATTTGGACCACAAGGACTCAGTGCAAATGTTAACTACAGGCCTAGATCATTCTAATGAACATCAATAATCAAACAAAGGACTTGTGGACTTCAACATGATTTATTTATAATTGACTTAAAATGATTGCAACAATTGCAATAGCCTACTCACGAATGAAGCAAGAAACAAATATGACAAATCCCTTTGCAGGTGTAAAAAGAAGAATTGTCATGCATACAATGTCTTACTTATAAGCATGGTTTAAAATTGCGCAATTAGAGGCGCGCCTCAAGGCGCGCCTTTGCGCAATTCAACCAAAAAACGCCTCGAGGCTTACGCAATTCTGGACCTGGATGAGGCGTACGCCTCACCTGGACTGAGGCTTTTAAACCTTGCTTATAAGTAAATACAAGCATCCATGAGTGGCAATGGATGATTCATCAAGTGTATAATAGTTTACATTCAAATCAAAATAGCATACTCATGGTGAACATGGCTTATGCACAAATAAGAAGGTGATAGACTTGTAATGCAAACAAATATTCAAGGACTTGTGATAGAAGCATAATCCCGCATACAAACTATTCGCGAACAGTGATGCAAGGCATTCAAATGATTATCAACGAGTTGAACAACAAAGGACTCATGAGAATTAAGTCTTAAGTGCTACAAAGGACAAGTATATGTACATGATGCAGCATATGATGAATGTTACAATGTCACTTCCAATGGTAATGATCAATCAATAAGTGAAGACTATAGTTCTCTACAATGCTAAAGGTTAACATACAACAAAATGCATCAACTCACCTGCAATTAATAAAACTTCTTGCAAACATACACAAAGCAATAACAGAGGACGATCAATGATTGCGAATATGCCTTGTAATCAACATTAAAATGCAAAAGACTATATTTAGCTTGACAAACAGTAGATGAGAGCCCAGTGGTTTTGCCGGCAAACGGCACCGCTAAATTACGATAATAGCCAGAGTCAATACGTTCCTTAATGTCATCAAATCCTTTAGATATAAATCAATATTATATAATCGATAGGACATAAAGCTCTCTGTTAGCTAAGGTGGATTCAAATTTGTCCCCTTAGACAAACATCCATCCCAAGTCTATAAGGAACCCTTGGACGAAGCAACCCATGGCTGCCGACAAGGATCCTTCTATTAGGTTGGATCGACTACCTCCTCTAACTAAGTTAATCAGGGACCATGATGGCCTGGGATGACAGAACCATGGGATCTTGATCGGGTCTATCATCCATTCCCTCACCATCCGCTTTAAGTGCAAGATAGTGAAATTTCCAATTTCAAATATAAAACCTTCAGATTTCTAAATACCATGCCCATTTTGCTATTATATGCGAGATACATGTATTTCTATGTATCTGATTGACGACTAGTGTTAATCAAAAGTTCTCTCTCATTATCGAGAGGGGTAATTAACTATAGATGCTCGCGCCTACAGGAAACCTGAACTCAGATCATAAAGTCCTCGCAAAATGAGGGTTAAATGTCTGGGTAGTGTCTTATCTGCAAATCCATCTGCCTTATCAAAATTTATCCCGAAACTTAATTCCGTTAACATTGCCCCCGAAGAAAGCAGCGAGGGAGGCCGGGGCCGAATTTTCAGAGCCCATAGCATAGACAAAATCTTAAGATCTAAAATCTTATTCTCAAAAATATTTTTGTTAATATTCTTTAGATGCCCCCATCTAATCCTAGAATATCATTTTACTTTATTTTTTTATTTTATGCACATTTATCTTAAAGTCCAAAATTAATAATCGATGTTGTGTATATGAATTTTCACTCTGGATAACTTTACAATTTTTGCAATCTAAACGATATAATTTTCTTATAAGAAAATAATTAATCTGAGTTTAACTATATCCATTTTTATAAGTGATGAGATGCTCATCTCTTTTCTTAAATAAGCTCTTAACAATTAAAAAATATATGCTAAATAAAAATCTGATATCATCCTATCACCTTCATTTGTCATTCCAAACTCATGGCCACCATGAATTCTTTTAAAATCATCTACCTCTCTACCAACATGTCCATTTAAATCTGCTCCAATAAAAATCTTGTTTTAAGAGATATCTTTTGTATTAATTATTCTAAGCCATTCCAAATTTTAATTTTGAATTCATATCCAAACCTATTTGAGGAGCATAAAAACTTATAATATTAACAATCTTAGCATCAATAACAATCTTTAAAACTATAATTCTATCTTCAATTATATTAATTTTTATAACATGATCCTTCAAACGCTTATCTGTAATCACACATACACCATTTTTAGTACGACTCCTACCCGAATATCATAGTTGAAATCCTAAACTATCAATCTCCTTATCCTTCTCTCCAACCCATTTAATTTCCTGAATGCACAGAAAATTTATCTTCCTATGAATTATAATATCTATTAATTCTATTAATTTTCCTGTAAAGGAATCTATAATCCAAGTTTCTATCCTAATTTTAGTTTCATGGACTAGCTTCTTTGCCCACATCCGTCTTTGATGTGGGAATCCTTGCCTGTTTAACATTGCACCAAGGCGCTGGTGCAGCGGCCCTTGCACAATTGTCGCTATATTCAAGCCATACAGTGCATCGCTTTTAGGGGACACCCTAGCATTAACACAATTTTTTAAAGTATTTGTGTCATGATTATTCGACAATGTTTACGTTGGTTGTCGACTACGTAATGTAACCCTCTGTTGTTCTCATCCAGGACTTGGGACCTTGCAACGACAGTATTAAATTAATCTAATTTTTTATTCTATAAAAATTTAAATTGGACAATATTAGAATTATATTAACTAATACTACCATTATCTTTGTTATGTGCTTGTGAATAATACTTGTAACCTCTCACTATTGTAATCCTTATGAAGTTAGGTTAGAAACTCGCTCTCATTCATTTTCTTCCAATTAAGTCTTTTACTTGGTTACAAAGCAGAGTCCCAACTATTTTCAAACAGCTGTATTGAAATAAATTTGATATTTTTTGTTAGGACATCGTTATCCTGTTATCTGAGTCCTATGCTTAGATGCTCATTATATTATCTGCAGATTGCCTGTCTGAAAAGTTTCCAAAGTGGCATTTGGGTGCTTAAACATAAAAGGGATTAATGAACATGGCAGAAAAATACTCTCTTTAACAATCGCAATAGTTTTATTATATTATCGTGGTTTTCTTTTGCTTCTACCATTCCTGTAGATTATTTTGGGTTAATAGAAAGTGAGTAGCATTTTTACAGTTTCAAGGGTGCGTGCCATCTTTTTTTTTGCTTTCTTGAAATTGGTTTCCAAGTTTATCTATACTAATTTGATGCTCAAATCAATCTATGTTGTGAACGCTAAAAGCATGCTACTTTGTGACCTTTCAGATCCAGAAATTCGTGGTAAGATTTCTAACGTGTGCAGATGCAGAAACATTCATCTACTTTTTTAAGGTAAAAATTTAGTTCCTTTTGAGGCAGAATCTTCACATATATTCTTCAACGTGAATTAAAAAAGAATTGATATGATATGTTCTTCTTTCTGTACAATGATATGCTGAAGTGCCACTTGTTTTTAATTCTTTAAGAAATATAAAATTTATTTTCAGATGAACAGGCTTGAAATATTGGTGCTTCTGAATTCTCGTTGGTCAATTACTTTTTTTTTTTACGTTTTATGTTTCATTGATATTACTATTTAGGACTACGGGCTTGTAAGTTAATAAGATGAATTATTATCTGGTTAGTTATTAAGCTTTAATTTTGTGATGTTTCAAAAGATAGATCTTTCACCATGCTATTGGTGCTTACATTTATTGCTTCCTTGTAAAAAATAAGAAAGAAAGCACAATCTCAAAAGTTTATGCAACTGTAAAATAAAACCATTCATAAAGTACTTTTGTGATGTCAGTCTTTTCCCTGGGTATTAGGGTAAATCTTTTTATTGTATGCATATCATGAAAGTTTTATCCCTTTTAACTTTTGGGTAATTTCTTTTTTGGAATTAGCCGCATCTACCTTCAAAAACTAGTTTTGCAACTGTATATGATATATGCCTACACAGACTTTATGACTTATCTTACTCTCAAAAAAATTTTTTTTTCCTAAGATGCTATAATTTATTCATAGGACTGTTCGAGGGATACCATGGATTTTGCATATCCAGCAAGTGATTTATTGTGTGATAGCTCTTCACCATCTAAAATGATTGCTTCAAATGCACTCGAATACATGTAAAGACTATTTCCTGGTCTATCACTCTTCTTTAGTTAAGAATATGAAGCATTAACTGTATTCATGCACATGGGACTTTGTATCCATAGATCTAATGAGGGCGAAGGCTATGAAGAAGCCATAACAAATGATATGCCGTCTCCAGCCTTTGGCCAGGATGAATCATACCGTCCTTTGCCTCTTGTCAACAACAGTAACACAATTACCTCTTTCGTTCCCCCAAGTTTTACAGAGCTATTGACCAATTGTTCAAAATATCCGCAGAATGGTATTAAGCACATGTACCTTAGAAATGGGTGTTTCTTACTACCTTGTATAATTCATGTTGCTTTGACTATTAACTAATATGCAGAGATTAGTAAGCAACTGGAGGAAGCTAATCATACACTTAGGAGCGGGGTATTCTCCTAGAGCTGCTTTCTCTTTTTTCCCAAAACAGTTTTGCTAAACGCTTTTTTCTATTTGTAATCTTCCACATCTTGCAGGAAAGTGCTCCGCATTTTTCTCCTCAGAGTATGCTGACTATCTTATATCTTGTATTCATGGGTTTTAAAAAGGGGAAATTATTAGGTGCAGACAACGGAGTAGAGATGTGTCCGATTTATTGGATACACTGCGTACGCTCTGCTTACACTCTGCGTGTTTGTAGATACACATCAAATAAGCAACAAATCCTTACAACTAAATATTTGTTGTTTATTTACTACATATTTACAAATACGCAGTATGTATGCAGAGTGTAAGCAGAGTGTAGGTAGAGTGTAAGCAGTGCTTGCAGTAATCCGGACGCATCTCTACGTTCGCTGTCCGCACCTAATAATTTCCCTTTAAAAGAGGGAAAAACTAGGATAAGGATATCTTGAACAAAATTGTTTGTGATATTCTACATAAAAATATTTTCATCAGGTTGCAAGGCATTCTTTTTCATTTTAAAAGATAAGAATCAAGATAGTCATAGCAAGGCATTTTTTTTTTTAAAGATAAGAATCAAGAGTTGTTACAGTTAATTATTCTTTGTAAGCTTTAAAAAAAAATTCTTTTGCTTTGGCATATCCTAAACAAGAAATTTTCGGTTGAAGTAGATGTGTGCATGTTATTTTGCTAAGATTACCAGTTTACATTATGCTAACTGAGTACAGATGATAGCAAGCAACTTGTTGTACTTGACGCAGATATGAAGAATGAAATTGCGGTAATGTCCGTTGTCCTTTTACAAATCCCTCTTTTTCGATATGTATACTTTGATTGTATGTCTACTCACATTCTTCTTTACTATCAGAGATACATGTCAGATGCTTCGTTTCATGGTATGAAATTCTAAAGCAACTATTCATTTTTTTCTTTTTAACTTCTATTTGTTTCAGATATAACTTTTACGTCTTTAACTCTGTCGCACTCTAAAACAGATCTTCTGTTCACAATCGAAAAGGTGTTCCGTGAACTGGGAGAGGGCCCGTCACTGTGAACTGCTTCAAAACCTCAAAATTACAGACCTCAATGATTTTTTTTTTTGGTTTTTTGATATGGTATTGGTCTATTATAGCTGAATCACAAGGTAGATCTCTTTATACTTGCTAACAAATATCCTTTTTTTTTTAATTTGGTTCTGTAAAGCCATTAGTTAAGAGTTACCAGAACCATGTTTCCATGAGACCATGCCAAGGCTGAATTTTGCAGCACATCTACCAATTTTAGGATACCTTTTTGAATTTGCTCAGTGGAAGGTTGAAAGCATGCTTATCCAGCGTATGGTGAAGAAATTATTACGTGCGGAGTCCGGACGGTTAGTATTTACAACGTATTTATAAATATTCAACAAATAATCAGTTGTGAGTATTAATGAGTATCTTGTGAGTATTTGTTGAATATTTGTAAATAATTAGTAATTACGCAACAATCTGGAAGGTTCTTCCCGTCCGGACTCCGCACAAAATAATTTCTCGGTACAGTGTGTGGGTCTTCATTAAAGATCAGCTTCTGGTTGAAGTCAAATGCTCTTAATTTTTATATTCCATTCGAGTCTCGCGTCTATTTATGTTATGCATGCATGAACATAATAGATACCTGAGAATGTGCTTGAGCATGTGCTGATATTTCCCTGACACTTCTCTCTTTAACATCGCCATCTCGATCTAGGTCTCCCTCTTCATTCCTTTCGCCATATGATTACCCATCCTTCCTCCAAATCTAATGACTAAGCATCTACCAATAAGTATTCGACTACATGAGCACATGAATTGATAATGCAGCATTTTTCGATTTTATGACAAACCTTCATTCTATAATGATATGAATCCACAAGTCAAGGTAACACCACCCAAGTTTGTGGCTCATAAATTATATATGTTGAAGATCATGGTGAAGTGTTTGGAGGGAAAATAATTTAATTTTTTTATTTTTAATAGCACAATTATTAAATTTTTAATATAAGAATAATTATTTTAAAAATAAGAATATAATTAGTCTCATTTGGCTGTAAAGTTTATATACACACACACATATTTAGTTTAATTTAAGGATGTTGTTAATAATTTTTAAAATCGAACTTTATTTTTTTATGCACGTCACATCCTCATTTTTATAGATATGGTCTTTTAGATCAATTGTTCCATTACAATCAATTTGCAGAAGTTCCTTAAATAATAACTTTAGACCCTCAAATTAGGGGATAATTGACAAGATTTAGTGAAGTTTGGTGGCTATATTGTGATGTGAGACATCGGTATGAGATACATATAGGTGTTCATGTATGTTATGATTAGTGATAGCTATTTATCCCATACACACCAAGAATTGCATGGCAACCATATTGGCATTGATTTTAAGGCTTAAGAGATGGTGTGAGAAAAAATGGGAATTCATGCATATTATAGATGTTCAAGTCTTTGTGGGATAGTACATTACAATCAGTTGTATTCCTAATCATCTTGATTGCTCTCTAATGGCTTCTTTGATTGAGTTAATCATACATTGGGACATTAATTGTATAAGGTGATTGGTTATTCTATAATCATAGCATTGGTTATCCTAAAATAGTTATTTGACCACATCAAATCAAATGACATGGTATGGATTGTATATGATGATGTACTATGCTTTATATCGTTCTAATAATTATAATACTAAATAGGTGATTTAGTCAAATCATACAGTATGTACTAAAATCATACACTATGATATATGCCATATAAAGCATTTAACTAATTATTAGAACTTGGTAATCTCATTCTTATGTGGAAAACACTTGTATTGTATGTTAGAAAACCATACAATATCTTATAGATCATATAGTATGATATATGGTCAGACAATATGATATAGATTTTATTTATTCTCTATCATATATCTATTTTCATATGTTTAGGGATCTCTTAATACATGCACAAACATAAATAAATAATAAATACATAAAAAATGATAAGTATGAATTAATAATTATAAATGCAAACATCCATAAGTATAGAAATACACTTAAACAAAAGAACATATAATATGTAAATAAGTCCATGACTCAATCTAGTTCTAAGTGCATTAAATGCCTCATAATTAAATGCCTTGATAAAAATATCCACAAATTGATTTTCAATATGAATAAACTAAATATCAATATCCCATTTTGATAAATAATCTCTAATAAAGCGAATTAAATATCAATGTGTATTGTATAAGAATATTGAATTGAGTTTTTTGTGTTACATATAACACTAATTTTGTCACTTAGGATAAATATTTATGTCCACCTGGAAAATCAAAATCAAGAAGTTATTGTTTTAGCCATAGGACTTGGATGAAAACTTTTTGCAACTATGTATATGTTACTACAATGGATATGACCAAATAATTTAATTTTGTATATATGACTTAGAGATTAATGAATCTCCAATAAATTATCTATTCATTATATGATTTTCCTATCAACTCTATAATCCCCAAAGTTTGAACATGAATAACCTACTATGTTAATGATACACTCCCTATGGGATCAGATTCCTAGGTGAAGTGTCTTTATGAGATATGAAAGGATTCTATTAACTGTGATCAAATGTGATTATTTAGGTTCAAATTAAAAGTGTGTGCATGGGCATACAATATATATAATATTATGTTAACTTATAGTCATATGCAATAAATATCCCATCATGTCTCTATGCCTTTTTTAATCTACATGTTAACTGCATGAACCTCATGAGCTCGATTTACACTAGGGTTTTGATGACAACAAACTTTATTGGTTAAGTTAATCCATGTTTCAATCTTGTATGCATGTCATTTTCATTGCAAACATTTTAGGCAAAGTCGCATTCACAACATATAAGAAGAGTAAATAAAGCTCAAAATTGCAAAAGAAAAGCATGTTGAAGATTATTAGTGTGTTTGTTATTTTGTTTTTGAGTCAATTTATGTTTTAAGTGCAAAATTGTTAAATAACCAAGCAGTCACTCAAAAGTGTCAAAATAAAATTAAAAATTAATTAAAATCACATAACTTCTCTAATATATTATATTATATGATCATTTATGATATTACTAATAAATTAAGTGGTATTAACTAAATATATAATAAAGAATTAAAGATCAACTCATCATTATTTCAAATAAACTTGCTTGTTATTATGATATTCATGAATAGGTAAATTTAAATTTGAACTAATTATATTGTATAAACAAATTCAAACTAAATAAATATTTATAATTTGTATCTATTTTAAATCCAAAATCTTGGTAATCAAATCAGGATGAAATTAATATGAATATTCATAAAGCATGATACATATCATGCACCATAAATAAATAGAGAGCCTAGTTGTACGATTCTTGTTTGGACGTGATGAGCTATTAATCCCTTAAACTTATTATATTATATGATCATGATCGTTCAGTCTGATAAAACAGAGAAGGATTTTTAGGCTTTAGTTTGATTGAACTAATCATACAGTACAAATTGATATTCATATTGTACAATCTAGTCAATAGAAATTAAAAGAAAACGAGGGCTTTATTTAAATATTAAACTTTGTGGTTTTATAGGGGTATTGGTCATAAATGAAAATGTTAAGTCCATATTACATATATTATAATATTTGTGCTTTTAATCCTTATATTTTTTGTTCAGGAAATATGCTAAAAATCATTAAAATTAAAATAACACCACAACACAACAGTGTCAGTACCATAGTGCCAAAGCTTACCGTAATGCAAAAGTGTCACCCCCTTCAGTGCCTCAATAGTGAGCCCTAAAAATAATCTACTGAGGCGCTATCTAGGAAGTGCCGCATCACCAAATCAAGTGTTGTGCCTCCAAATCGAGCACCATGATGGAAAATCACCTAGTTCCATGATGGGAAACAATTAAACCGATAAACCGATGTGATGAATGGTAAACTGACAAATTATCCCACTAATGTTGTAGTTCCACTATGTCAGCGCCATGATGCCAGTACAATTATTTCAAAAAACTATAATAGTAGCCTCAATGTTAATATAATGGGGTTGGCACATTATGGAGTCGTGAGTGTGTGTGTGAGTGTAAGGGACTATTCTTGAGAGGGAGTAACTCTTGTAGACTTGTTTTGCTTGTTGTATTAGTATATATTAAAGTGGATAAGTGCAAAGGAGTCTTTACCTTAAATTCAAGTCACTTCTAACCTTTCTTTCATCATTTATCTTATACTTCATAGTTTGAATTGTTTTGTTTTATTAGTAAAATAAAAATGTTTGTGTTGTGTAATTTTGTCTTCATGTGTGGCTAATATTTTATGCTAAATCTATGATTATTTAAGAGTCATGTATTGTATAGGTTGGTTTAATTTTTATAATGCATTCAACCTATTTTGAATTCCTCTAAGCTTCATTTAGTTTATGTATATGCTAACATAAACTTAAACTTGGTGTGATCGAAAGCGTCGACAGAGGAACAGAAGAATAATTATACAACAACAACAACAACAACATCAAGCCTTTATCCCACTACATGGGGTCGACTACATAAATTCTTTTTCTCCATTATGTCCTATTAAAGGTCAAATTCTCGTTTAAATCTAATAAATAAAGGTCATTCCTAATATTTTCTAACCAAGTCTTTTTAGGTCTGCCTCTACCTTTCTTAACATAAGTCAAATCTAATACCTCTACTCTCCTAACCGGGTCATTGGAAGGCCGCCATTTTATGTGACCAAACCATCTAAGTCAAATCTACCTAATATTCTTAATTTGCATGATTGGCATGTGAATGATATCTATTAATATAATAATGAAATTTAAGCTCACATAAATTTGTAATAGTATTATTATTCAATTTCAAGATGAAATAATTTTTTTAGCAAATGATTATTAATTATTAGAATTTTTGCCAATAATAAATATCTATAATTTAACTAAGTAGAAAAAAATTGAATAATACCTTAAATATGTTTTTAATAAATCTAAGTTAAATCTAATCATTTTTTTTTTTTATGTTTATCATCCTTTTCACATGGATAAACATATTTAATCAATATACAGTGAAATCTAACAGCAGTCAGACACTAGACTTCATTGATCCTCGATCTTGAACATGCACTTTAGTTTTCATGTATTGTGCACTTGGTGTCCATCC